CTTTCTTCCATTTTGGTTCTTTTTCGCTTGGTTCTCCTCAATTCGCTACATTCATAACTTAGTCCTGCAAAACATAAATTGCATAGAATTAAGCTATATTTCAACATATTAATCAATAATTTCTCATGTTTTGATAGTAAAATAAGTAAGTAAAAACGCACTTATCAGCTCTCTTTGTCTTCCTCGACCTCATCAACAACACTACAAAAAACTCAGACACACCAAATTACAAGGAGTGAAATTCATATGGCATGAAATCTTTGTAATTTACAAAAGCCCCCAAAAAGTCCTAAAAAAGAAATTGAAAATTTTGATGATAAAGAGCAAAATGCTGTTGAGGGGAGGGGCATTTTCAGCATACAATGCTGGCATAAGCGAGAACCAGAGCACTTTCAAAATTTCCAATTCAATTTTTTGGAAAAAAGGAAATGGGTTTGTGTTGTGCAATTCTTCGGACCACGCTCAGAAGGCCCAGTTTTTAAGGGTTCTGGCGGTGGCCACTGGCGAGGCGAAAACCAAACAACAGGAGACGAGCAACGAGCCGACACTGGCGGATCAGCTCCGATTTGGCAGATTGACTAAAGATGGCTTGTCTTATAAAGAAAGGTTCATAATGACACAACTGTAAGAAGGTCTGATGTGATTTGGGTGGATGTCGGTAGCAGGCGACATGTGGCGATGGGGCTGTGGTGGTGGATTTTTTTGTTGGGTTTAGGAGGCGGTGTGTGGGAAGGAGAAACTGAACAGTGATTGGGTTTCAGTTTTTTTTTTCTTTATAGTTTTTTAATTTTTATTCAAAGTTACCATGTTACCCCTTTTAAAATTGGTAAAATCTTATTTTTTGAGTCAACTAACGATAAAACTAACATAAATTATCCATTTGGACCCCATTTGCTAATTTTTGAACGGTTTGGGACTGTGGGTGACATAAAGTAAAGGTTAGCGTAAAGTCTGCAAAAAAGTAAAAGGTTTGGGGCCTTTGCTACAATTATCCCTTAAATAAATAAATTTCTAATTTTAAAATAATTTTCTAAATTTTGAATATTGAAAGAAAATCTTAAATTCTTAATTCAGCGATATTAACTATGCTAGTAATCTCAACCTCTAACTCTGATCAATATATCATTAAAACAACATTACACACCCATGGACGGAGTTAAGATAAAAGAATTGTGGGGGCAATTTACACAAAATTTTAATTGTGGGGGTAAAAATTGAAAACTATGAGGATTTTTTTTTTGAAAATCTTGAAAAAAATTTGGGCAAAATTTGAAATTTTAAATTTGATGTGGGGCATAGTGGGGTAAATATGTCCCTTGAAAGACCAGACCATTATATTCTAATTGTTCACTATAATACGTAAATTATAAGGGTGTTTGGCACCCATTAAATTTTTTAAAATTTTTCACTTTCTTAATTATAACCACACATTCTCCAAATAAAATAATATTAGACACAAATCTAAAAATTTTCATTACTTTTCAACCACACATTTTTTCATCAATCGCTATTTCAAAATTTATAATTTCCAAAAAATGGGTGCCGAACACATGCTTTACATGTTGGGAATTTACTTATCATGTACAACGGAAAATAAAAATAATTTCAATCTCTACCGGTGTTTAGATAGAAAATGTGATAGGAATTATAAATTTGTTGAATTCTGCAAACTCTTTTGCTTATCTTGAATACGAACAATAATGATATACAATCCACAATTGTTCAATTGTCCAATTTCCAATGAAAATTCACACATGGAACAAGAATGAGAGAATTATGGATTATCTTTTCTTGTGCTAATAAGATAATAATTGTGTTGTATTGATTTGTCAAACTCCAACAGTTTATTAATATAAGTCCAACTGGGTTTGGCTCGACTTAAATTTAACACGATATAATGTTTAATTAATCAATTAATTAAACACAATCAATTAATTAATTAATTTGATTATTTAATTTGGCCCATTAATAAGTAACTCAATTAATTAATTGTTCAACACTTGTCAAGTAATTAATTAATATATTTCATTATTCTAGTCCTTCTTTTGTATGTGACCCATTAGGTCCCGATCACGATACCTAACGATGTGAATTATTATTTTGATCTAATCAAAATAAGATAAAGTAAAACACCTATTTAATTTATTATTAAGTAATCTAGATTAAATAATTCACATTTGTTGTACAAGATTGACATCCAACAATGTGTCGAACAATACATGTGACGGGAAATGTCACGTGGTATGGCAAAATCAAACATATTCGTTTACCGCAAAACTATATTCCCTTCGTCAAGCTCGATTATTGTTCATATCTTTCATCCCACTATTAAGTTAATATAAGTCGAAAACTCTTTTCGACTTGTAAGTACACCTTGACCAATGATTTTGTTATCAACTTAACTTAATGAAATATAGATCATAATCACTTACTATCTAAGGATAACGAATCCTCAATAAATCATATATCGATCATTCACAAACTTTATATGATTCTTAACATATCCGAACATTGCTGTATTAGCGACTCTTGGTAGAGTAACATCCAATATCACCAAAGTATGACCGTCCACATATAAGGCACTATGATGACCTCAAGTTGAAAGACCAATTTCACTACCGAAAAACGTTAGAGATTAACCACTGACACTCAGGTAGTTATCCATGTGGAATCTCTCCAACGGGTCCAATATTTTGTTCTATAACAAAATATTCATGTGTTAATTTAAGTATCACCATACTTTAGCTTGTGAGATCTGCTACTTACTTCACAAGTAAGAAATGTCACACATGATGTATCCGTAATAACGATATCGTATCTCATTATTACTTACGACCACAGATGATTTAAGATTCATGCATATATAATTTGTATCTAGCAATCACAATTCCTTGTTATTAACAAATTACTAAAACTTGAATCTAGGGACTCTATCATTTAATTTATTAGAATAGTAATTTAAATAAGTAGATCTTGCCATAAATAAAATGCATCAATTATATATATTAAAAGTGTTTTTGTCCAAAATCAATTAGACTTAGGTCATAACATTTACAAGCTCTCACTTATACTAGATCCAATCACTTATATATCTAGCCCCTGTTTGGCCCCCATCTTGGGGGTTGAAAATTTTTAGAATAGTGATTTATGGGAGAATGTGTGGTTGAAAAGTTTTGGATTTGTGTGTAATATTATTTTATTTGATGAATGTGTGATTGAAATGAAGAGAGCGAAAAAAAATTAATGTAATTGAATTTAATTTAATGGGGCTTAAACGGGGGCCTAATATCATAAAAGTCTACATGATAATCATATTTATACTACGACAACTCGCCTATGGATCTACAATATTGTTAATTATGAGAATTCATTCTTTCTTTATGTCATTTCCTTGTATTATCTCTCCAATGAGATGTTACAGCCTTAACACATGTTTGGATCATTGATGAGACTTTAGTTCATTCACTTGCATGATTGTTATCACAATGCAGAAGCATGTGATCAACAATGTTAGGAACTACTCCAAGTTCATTGATGACCTTATTGATCCACACCACAACCTTTGTTGCTTATAAAGCAATGATGTATAAGGCTTTTTCTGCTATTGAATCAATAATTGTTTCCTGTTTGAAACCTTT